GGGGGTGGGGCGCGGGCGCGACACTGCGCGGGGGACCCCGTGCCCCGGCCTGTGACAGGTCGCGGGGCCCGGCGAAGACGTCCGAAAACTGGAACCTCGAGCCCGAAACTCTGCACGCGGCAGTCACTATCCTCCCTCTCCTCCTCCCCCTCCCCCCGCACTGTGGCCAAAGGGGGCCTATCGAAGGAGCCGCGGGGCCCAGGGGGGCTAAAGAGATACCCACCGACACCCTGCGGGGTCCCGCGCACGAAGGGAATTGCGGGAGAGGCGGCGGCTTCAAGATTTCTTTGGGAGCGGGAGGATGACGGGAGCGCGACCGCGGGAGGATGACGGGAGCGCGACCTGCAATAGGCAAGCAGGCGGCGGCGTCAGGGTAACAGGTGGGAAGCAGGAGGGAGGGGGAGGGGGGGAGGGGGCGGGGGAGTCCTTTTCCTCCCTCTCCCTCCGCAACCCCCTCCTCACGTGTGCGCCGTCTCTGCGGCCAGGGTGCGGAATCGTCTCGCATACCTTCCCGTGAAAAAAGCTCGCCTGCTACCAAGCTCCTGCGGCGCGCACCATCGGAAGACGTCAATCAGACCCCTCCTTGCTACGAGGGGCGAGTGCGGATTCCAGCTAGAGGCCCCGCTGGGCAATAACCCCGGCAAGCCTTTAAGAACCCCCCCGGGGTTATCGTCAGCACCGCACCAAGATTTAATATTTTCAGGGGGTCGTTTTCGCAGAGCGAGATCTTCACCTCGCACAAATCAAACAACAAAATTCCGTGGGGGCTAGCAAGGCTTGGCATGGGCTTAGCAGGGCGCAGCAGGGGTCGAGCCTGGCTTATCATTGCTTAGCAGGGCTTAGCGGGAGCTAGCAGGGCTCAGCAAGGCTTAGCTTGGCCCCGAGCGCTCTCTGCAAGCTCCTCCGGTGCCGAGGTAACGCTTCCAGGGTGCCGGATGCGTTATACTTTCACCGGATCAGGGTGGGTGGGGTGGGGGGGGTTCTTAAAGACGTGATGCGGTTACCTGAGGTTTAATCGGCCCTGGCACCTCCCTTTGGCCCATCCATCAGCCACGGGCTCTGGCCTCGAGGGGGAAGCAGCATCGCATCGGTGCCTTTCTGAGGCCAGAGGCGGTGGGCTCACTGCGAAAGTCAAAATTCATTTGCGGCCGACCCCATAGCCAGCGTAGGGGGATTCTGGACTGGCTGTGGCCCGAATCGTTGCTATTTCTCTCGCAACGCAATGGTCCTGGGATAATGTTGGTATCGTTCCGGGCCCTGAGAAAAAATGATGATGCCTTCGCCGGTTTTCCCAAGCTGCGTTCCGTTGCAGGTGGCCTGCAGACGTACTGTATTTTGTGAGCACGTCTTCCCCCGACAAGCGTGAAGCCGTACCTGACTCCAAACCCACAAATGCCTGCCTCCTCCTCCTCCTCCTCCTCCTCCTCCTCCTCCTCCTCCTCCTCCTCCTCCTCCTCCTCCTCCTCCCCCTCCTCCCCCTCCTCCCCCTCCCCCGTCTGTCCCCTCCTCGTCTGGTGTCGCTCTCGTCCCCAGGGTGGACCCACTGGCTCTCTGCTTCTACACCCCCGACACGCGAACCCTCCTCCTATCGCTCTTCTCCCACGTGGTGGCGCCCTTGGCCAAGTGCGAACTCCCCCCGCGTTCCCCTTTCCTTTTCGTAGATGTTAATTTTATATACATATATGTATGTATATAAACTAGAACCATCGCGCGCGCTTCGCGCGCGCTCAGGTTCTAGCCCAGGTCGGGGGAGCGCTAGAAGATCTTGGACAGCGCTATCAAGCACAGGTGCGTGACATAGTCGTGCTTTCTGAGGGCCTCTTGGGAACCTCTTGGGTCTTCGTGGGGGCATCTGAAGGGCTTCTGGGGGACTCTCCGTGCTTCCTCAATCGGCTGTTGGAGGCACCTCTTGGGTGCTTCTCGGGGGGGCATCTCGGGGTCCCTTGGGGGCATCGTCAGGATTCTCCGGGCAGTCGGAAAGTGATGTTGTGCAATCTCTGAAGCAATCAATTGGCCGACTTGGCTGCGTGGATGCCCGGCTTGAGGCCACATTGGGGCAATCCGGAAGCCTCCCGGGGCCTCCTTGAAGTATCTTTGATGCATCGAGAGCACTGCTCGGCTATCTTGGGGCCTTTTGGGGCTTGGTGGGGGGCTTTCGTGGGCCTCGTCGGACCACTTTGGGACTGTTGGGGCCTTCTGTGGGCCTCTTAGGGCGGAAAGCTCTGCTGTTGGGTTCGCGTTCCCCTTCTTGGGGCTCTCTTGGGGCCCTCTCGGGGCCCTGTCGGGCCGTCTTGGGCGCCTCGGGCACCGTCTTGGGGACCTAGTGGGCCGTCTTGGGGCCCTCTTGGAGGCCCCTTCGGCTATCTTGGAGCGACCGTGGGGGCCACTTGGGCCGTCTTGGAGCGTCGGGATGCCAAAAGGCTGGGAATTCTAAAATTCATCAAAGGCCGATGGGAAAACAATGCTTCTTGGAACCTCTTCGGGCTTCTGGGGAGCTTCTTGAGGGCCTCTTGGGTCCCACTTGGGGGCCTCTGGGGCTTCCTGAGAGCCTCTCGGGGTGAAGGCTCGGATTTTCGGTACGTCTTACCCCTCTTGAGCCCCCCTCGGGGCCGTATTGGTGCCCTCTCGGGCTGTCTTGGGCCCTGTTGGAGGCCTCTTGGGCTATCTTGGATTGGTCTTGGAGGCCTTTTGGGCCGACATGGAGCGTCAGGACGCCCAAAGGCTGAAAACTCGAACATCAATCAAAAACCTATGGCAAGACATGGATTTTTGCCTCTTGGGGCCTTCGTGGGAGGCCTCTTGGATACTCTTCGGCCCCTGGGGGGCTTCTTGGGGCCTCTTGGAGCCTGTTAGGGGCTTCTCGGGGCCTCCTGAGAGCCTCTCGGGGTAAAGACTCGGATTTTCGGTTCGTGTCAACCCTCTTGGCTCCATCTTGGGGCCGTCTTGGAGCCCTCTCGGGCCGCCTTGCGCGCCTCTGGCGCCGTCTTGGGACCCCCGTGGGCTGTCTTGTGACCGTCTTCGAGGCCTCTAGGGATGCCTTGGAGCGGAAATTAAAGCCTCTTGGGCCGTCGTGGAGCGTCAGGAAACTCAATAGGCGAGAACTCGAAAATCGATCAAGAACCAAAGAAAAACAAATTAGTTGTGCCTCCTGTGGCTCCTTGGGAGCCATCTTGGAGGCCTCTTGGGGCGTCTTGGAGGCCTCTTGGACAGTCAGGGGCCAATTCTGGGGTGATCGCGGGCGGTCATTGGTCGTTTTCGTTGTCTGGAAACGCCAGGGCCGTCTTCGGGCGACTTTAACAAGGCCCCCAGCGCCACAGCAGGGCCCCTGGCTCCCCAGTGCGAGGGCTCCGTCCCGGACCCCGCCTCGTGCCTGCGGCAGGGCGTCCCTGGGCCGTCTCGGCGCCCTCGTGGGGGCCTGTTGGGGCGACATTGGGTGTCTGAAATCAATCGAAACCCTAAGGACAATCAATAATTTTGGCGTCCCTTTGGGCCGTGTTGGAAGCCTTGTGGGCTGTCCGGAGGCCATCTTGGGCGTGTTCGAACGATATGTCCTCGTTTCGGGGCCTCTTGGGGGCCTCTTGCGGCCCTTTTCGTTTGTGTTGGGGCTTTCTTGGGCCGTCTGGGGGCGGCCCTGGGCTGTCTCGTCGCCCTCTTGGAAGCCTGTTTGGAAGATTTCTGGGTGTTCTGGACCGTCCTCCTTCAACGTCGGCGGCAGTGGCCGTAAGACTTCCTGGGAACATGATTTGTTGGGGTGTCGTTGGGCGCCTCCGGAGGCTTCGGGGCCTGACACGTTTCCGAGCGTGGCGGCAGGTAGCGCTGCTTGGGACTCTCGTTTTTTACCCTGGCAGGCGTTTATAAACATGGTTTGGGGAGAGGGCGGCAACCCGAGAATCATGTTCCCGGGAAGCTTTCCGGGAGCATGATTTGTTCGGCTCACTTAAGAGGGTGGGCTCTGGGGGATTACCGAGGGGCTCTTTTTTGCCTTGTCGGCAAGCCTATTGGAAACATGGTTGGGGCGATGGGCGGAAGTCCAGTAGCCCTGGATCCTCAATTTTTAGATAGCGTAAGACGGTAATACAATTATTGAAAATCGATCCAGACATTGAAAGGTATTCATAATTTGTTGATCGACATGCAAAAATTGGTTGGTATTGCAAATAATTGTGGGCGCGTTCAAATAGTTATCAGTTATTGAAAACGTCCTTCAACGTAGATCTCGATTCTAAATGACCGCCCTCTCGTGCCAATAGCCCTGCGGGTCGACGACCTCGCTCACTCGGCTTTGACCTCAAAAGGTTCGGGAGATGCGCGTCTGCTCGCGCGCTGAATTAGTTGAGCGTACAATCGACCGGCCAACGGGCTTACACAGTCCCAGGATGCGCGGACCAAGTGGCGCGGATAATTGTTCTCGTTGTCATTGTCGTTGCCCCTGGTCCGCTTTGCGAACTTGCAGCGGCACATTCGGCGACCCGCTGGCGACCCGCCCCGCGACCTTTCGCTGCCCGCCCCGCAACCTGCACCGCGAGGGGAGGGGAATGACTGAGATGAGAGGGGTGTCTCGTTTTCTTGCCCTCAATTATAGAGGCGTCTCGAAATGTCCCCTCAGCATCACCCCAACCCTTGTCCGCAACCTCGGGGTCTATAGTTCCCCTTGTAAACACGAATGTTCACGCGTGGAAGCGTTCGCTCACTTGTGTAGGTGAACGGCGCCGGAAGCAAGGAATCTAAGACCCCGTAGGCTACAGCCAAAATGCGCCCCATACGGTCACCAACAGCATTGTCACCCGCAGCAACATTGGATCAAAATCTCTGATACCGGGCACGTGTGCATTTAGTGGCATGCCACCTCGCCCTCAACACTTTATTGTTATAGCGGGAGGTCTACAGAACGATTGGCGCAGTTTGTTGAACTCCGGGGCCCTGGCTTCGATTGGTCGGGGAGAGATTATGCGAATCCTGTGCGTGGTTCGGCTGTGGACGAGGTTGGCTTGGTCTCATACATGGAGCCCCTTCAGCTCTTGCTGAAGAGGGCGCCGTCGGGATTTCCAACGTTCGCTTCTCTACGTGATGCTTTCATTGCTCTTGATGCGGAGTGGTCAATTTTCGGCGTTACGTGCGCCAAGGGGAGGCACCAGTCGGCCAGGGACGCGAGTGACATCTGGCGCAAGATGTGCCGAGATGTGTACGACCACGCCAAGAGCGGCGTTAACCCAGAATCTTTGAACGAGCTGGTGGGTTGCATCCAACTTGGGCGCGCAGGCGGGGCCGCCTCCGGCAGTCAGGGGCAGCCAGCTCCAAGCAGCGACGCGGCTACGGGTCACAAGTTTGCAGACTTCTCGTCGTCGTCAGATGTGGAGATTACAAGCATCAAGTGTACTTGTCCTGTCTGCGCGGTCCCAGTCCCTGCCGCGAAGGCTGTCGCCCAGCGCAAGGAGACTGAGAACCAAGGTGATGATGAAGGTGCACCGCCTAAACGCCGAATGACTGGCATGAGGACGGGTGCAGCGACTGCCCGGGGGATGCGGCGGCCCTCGGCGGCTCCTGACACGGGAAGCAAGCCGCCTGGCAGGGTCGGCAAGAAGCCAGCCAGCGTCGACAATCGCAACATCGCGCTGCCAATCGATATCGAGTATCGGTACACATCTAAAGTGGGAAAGCCACCTGGGGCCTACATCTTGCAGAACACTGCGAAGGCCCGCTACGTCTGCGGCGTCTCCCTGCCAGCGTCGCCCCAGTGGAAGAAGATCATTGAGGAGGTGGCCGACAAGATCAGGTCGAAGGACATCCTGACCACTGATGCTTGCAAACAGTGGGTTGAGGCGAGGATCTCGACAGGTTGATGTTCGCTGCGCCTTGCACGCGTGCCAGAATGTCAGAATGCCGCCTTGCACGCGGATGGATGCAACGGCAACCCAACTTAGATCTTGCGTTCCGGGCAATTTTGATGGAAGAGCCTGGCACGCGGGGCTCTGGGCCCCTTAGATCTGGAACATGGATGTTTCAGTCAATTTGCGTGCCCGAATCTGACAATAAACTGTCGGATTGTATAATAGAACATGTTATCATAGCCTGTGTCTTCCTTACCGTCATCATCGCGTTTACCGTCGTCATCTTCGTCGTCATTGTTGCCGCCGTCGCCGTTCCAATCGTCACCGCAATAATCTGAACCAAAACCATGATCATCATTGTCGGCGGCGACACCGTCGCCGCAGTCATCGTTGCTACCACCGCTTCTATCGAACTTCAATCATCATCGCGTCATTGAGGTACGATCGCAGAGGCAACGTCCGCATCATCATAGGACCGTCATCGCCGCCGCCGTCAGACTCCATGAACGGCCATTCGGGTTCGAGCCTCCTGTGAGCCTGCGTTAAGACCAAGTCGGCAGTACGAGGCAGCAAGATGCCCGCGCACATTCAGGCGTGCCTCTATCGTGGAGCGGCGGCAGCGGTTCTGAGTAGGACTGCTGTCAAGGTCGAGGGAGCAAGTGGGGCCGCGCCAACGGCCGCCAAGTCGGCGCCGCCAACTTCACCGAAGAGCCTTGCCCGCCAGGCAGGATTGGGTGCGAATGAGCCGACGCTGAGGGAGCCTTTCTCTGAGGACAAGAAGCGCTACAACAAGTTCAACTATCACTTGCGCAACGCTGGCGACGAGTACCAGAACCAATGTGCTGCCGTTAAGTCCAAGGAGTTCCAGGACCCAGATGGTTTCGACAGATTCGTGGAGATGATATTGGCCCTGCCCGCATCGGAGAGGCGGGTCTAGAAACGCACGATTCAGGAGGGAGGCGGGGAAGAAGTGGACTCCGTGGAAGGAGGCTGCAGACAAAGAGGGCGAATCTGTGCTGATGGCGATGGTCCGTGCAGGCACGATCGAATGCCGCAGGCACACCGGCCTACCTGATGACTGCGGCATCAAGTGGCCTCACAACCAGCAGGTGCGCCGTGTCGTCGAGATGGAGACGGAGAGGATGAACTACCCCAAGGAGGACGAGTCCGAGAGCAAGTTCGAAGATGCGAAGCTGGAGGAAGCCTCGGAGCAGTTCGAGGCTGCCTGGGCCAACAAGGACCTGTCCAAGGCTGTCTTGGGCGGCTCGGCCCATTGCGCACCGGACGTGTCTTCGTCTTCCCCAGGGAAGAGCGAGGCCCAGGTCAAGAAAGAGAAGGAGGCCCTCCAACACATCAAGAAAGCGCACAACTCTTGGGACCGCATCGCGCGAGAGGTAACGGGGTTCCTCGCCATCAGCGGGGACCACCCGAATACGAAAGGCTGCAAGGTCGAGATGGACCTCACGGGTGCCCTCGCAGATGGCAAAATCACTGACGCTGAGCTGATGAAGATGGAGGTCAAGGCCATGCACCCGAGCGACGCGCTCACCGACGACGATTTTTCCAACGCAGCCGCCCTGACCACGAAGATCCAGGGAGAGATTAAAGAGTGCAAGCGCCTCAACGACGCACTCAAGTCGTGGTTCAAGGTGTGATCGGGCATCGCAGCGAGCCGAGTGGTCTCGCCAAGGCCCGCGGGCCACGGATGTGCTTGGCCCGCAACGCTGCCCACGCAACTCAAGCACAGTGGGCTCACCAGTAGCACGCTGCAGAGGTGCGCTAGCGATCCGAGGGATGTGGATGGAGAGGAGAGGAGGGGGTGTTGGGAGGGGGAAGGGGCTCGCGTCGGGCTAGCGTGGGGCTCGCCCGGGGGTGTCGCCTGGGGCTCGCAAGGGAGTCGTACGGGGGGGTCGCGTGGGGCTCGCGTGGGGCTCCCGTGGGGCTCCCGTGGGGAGTGGGCCCGGAGGCTTGGAGCCAAAATGGGCCCACGGATCGAAGCCATGTGCAGGAACCGCCCGTCCAGTTTTCAAGATGAATCCGCGGGGGACGATTTCTGCTTGGAAAAACATATAATATCCAGCCCGGCCCCCCCAATTCAAAAAGTGCCGAACAAACGGGATAGGCATTTTTCGAAATTATGGGGGCGACCAAGAAGTGCTGATTTCTCCCAAGCAGAATCCGCCCCGGGGCAAATTAAGTTGAAAACTCGGCGGCGCCCTGGGGCCCTCAGTTGAAAACTGGGCGGTGCCCTGGGGCCCTCCCTGGCCGTCTTGGGGGGAAGCCCGGGAAGCACTCGCGGCCCGCAGTGCGAAATCCATATGCCGGACCTTGCGTGAGCAGCTCGTCGTCGTCGTCGTCGTCGTCGTCGTCGTCGTCGTCGTCGCCTCGAGCATCTTGAAAAAAAAGGGAAATTCAGGATTTCCCTTTTTCTCAAGTTTGAGAATCGTCGGCGTCGTCGTCGCCGTCGCCGCGCCGTCGTCGTCGCCGTCGCCGTCGCCGTCTCCGTCGCCGTCGCCGTCGCCGTCGTCGTCGTCGTCGTCGTCGTCGTCGTCGACGGGCTGAGGGACGCGGAATCCCCATGGGTTGCCGAACGAGCCCCCCGGGAGTTGTGGAGCGGGCTAATGGGAAGACCGACCTGGCGTAGCTTCAAGCACCGCCTTCTGAATTCAGATCTGAATTCGGATCTGAATTCAAATCTATACATAGTAGAGATAAGCACATGTAAGAATTCAGATCTGAAATCAGATCTGAATTCGGATCTAAATTCAAATTTGAGCTCAGATCTGGTGGCGGGGGGCGCGACGAGGAGTGGGGCGAAGATGAAGACGAGGAGGAGAAGGGAGGAGGAGGAGGAGGAGGAGGAGGAGGAGGAGGAAAGGGAGGAGGAGAAGGAGGAGGAGGAGGAGGACGAGGAGGAGGAGGAGAGGAGGTGAGGGGAGGAGGAGGAGGAGGAGAGGAGGAGGAGAGGAGGAGGAGGAGGAGGAGGAGGACGAGGAGGAGGAGGAGGGTGAGTGGGAGGAGGAGGGAGGAGGAGGAGGAGGAGGGAGAGGAGGAGGGAGGAGGAGGAGGAGGGGAGATGAGGAGGAGGAGGGAGGAGGAGGAGGAGGAGGAGCAGCAGCAGCAGGAGCAGGAGAGAGGAGGAGGAGGACGAGGAGCGAGGAGCAGGAGGTGGGGCGAAGATGAAGACGAGGAGGAGGAGGAGGAGGAGGAGGAGGAGGGAGGAGGAGGGGGGGGGGGAGGTGGGGAAGGTGAGGAGCAGGGGGAAGGAGGAGGGGGGAAGGAGGAGGAGGAGGAGGAGGAGGAGGAGGAGGAGGAGGACGAAGAGGAGGAGGAGGAGGAGGTGCATCACTCGGGGCGAGGGGTGCAACGGTTCGCGAGATTTAATCTCTTCAGGTGCCACTCGCCCGAGTTCGGGCCCAGCGGGAACACTCATTCCAGGCATCGGGGGCCTGGGATCCGCAGCACCAACGCACCAGCCAACATCGTCGTCGCTAACGTTGTGGTCGTCACCAGCGTCGTCGTCATCAACACCCTCTCTTCGGGATGTCCCATTTACTGCGTAACTCTCATCTTTCTTCTGGCCGTATATCCTCTCCTGGGCCATCGCGTGTCGCCCGGTATCCTCCGACTGGTCTTGGCAAAACCCCCCCATACGGGCCCTTAGGGGGGGGTCGTCCTGGCCCCCCCACAAAGATCCCGAGGGGGGGGTCACGGAGATCATTTTCCCTGCGTGGGCGACCCATCCATGACCAGGTAGACCAGGCAGACCAGGAAGACCAGGCGGACCAAACAGACCAAGCAGATCGGGCAGACAGGGCAGCCAATGCAGACCAAGCAGACCAGGTGACCCCGGCAGACCAGCCAGACCAGGCAGCCTAGGTAGACCAGCCAGGCCAGGCAGACAGGCTAGACCAAGCACACCGGATTTCTGTGAACTCGGTCCAAGTTCGTACTTCTCTTGTGCCCGCATGTCGGGACGCAGTGCGAAATCCATTTGCCGGACTTTGCGTGAGCAGCTCGTCGTCGTCGTCGTCGTCGCCGTCGCCGTCGCCGTCGCCGTCGCCGTCGTCGACGTCGACGTCGTCATCGTCGTCGTCGTCGTCGCCGTCGCCGTCGCCGTCGCCGTCGCCGTCGCCGTCGCCGTCGTCGTCGCCGTCGCCGTCGCCGTCGCCGTCGCCGTCGTCGCCGTCATCGTCGTCGTCGTCGTCGTCGTCGTTCAGGGTCCGCGGCACTGGCCGTAAAACCTCTCCGATCCATATGCCGGACTTTTCGCGTACAGCTCGTTTCGAGGTGTATTCCTTTTGAGTTCCTGGAGTGAGTTCCCCCTCCTCCCATCATTTTCCTATCCCTCCTCTGCAGGCCCTTTTTCTGGCTCAAGGTACATGTCATGCGCGCATTTAGCTTCGATTGCAAACGAAAGCCATAGGGATATTCCATTTGCTTGCTTGGCCCACGATGCTGAGCCGTCTGTGGATGCCTCTGCAGGAGCGCACCAGGCGTCGAGGTGGCTGGAGGCAAGCGCGCGACATAGAAGAGAACGGAATTGCCGCGGGCGACGCCGAGTGGACAATCAGTCGCCTGGCCGGAAGGCTCCTGAGGTCCTGGGGCGACGGCGAGATGTCGGCCGCTGTCGTGGTCAACGCTTCCAGAGACTCAGTTGCCGACGGCCTGGTGCACCCCATGCTAAAACGACTCGCAGGTTCGCGGGGAGGCGAACATGCCAACCAAGACCTGATAGCGCTCTTGGACAATCAAACAAACACCATTGATTTGATCAAGTTCATTGATGGGATGGCGTCGCCCAACAAGTCGACGCCATGCCATGTGATACTGCCTTCTTCGTATTTGATGCGCACGCATAGACATTACCCACGAGAGTTTCCAAAAACATATGGGTGCCGATTCCGGGAAGCTCGCTTCATTCCGGAGGCAATTCAAGAGTCGGCCCGCGGCCAGCCGAGCTCTCGACAACCAGGCCCTCTTGCGGCACGTGGTCGAAGATGACTTTTCTGATGTGATACCACTGGCAATCCACGAGGACGCAGGCCCAATGTCGAAGAACATGAGTGCAATTTCAATGTCGATTTCTTCTCTCGTGGGTTCGGGTCCGGAGAAAACAACTCATTTTACAATCGCTACGTATGTTGACTGCGCGAGAGCAGAGGCGCCCGACACCGACGGGCTCTGGGAAATTATGGTTGATGGTTTGATGGGTTTGTTCCGAGGTCGCGACATGCCTGACGGTTGTGGCGGCAAGTGGAGGTTCATTTTATTACTTGCCAAATCGGATGAACAACAGCGATGCGAGGGGTTCGGCCTTATGCACTGTAATTCGGATGGCGGGAACTGCTCCGAATGTCTGGCAGACAGAGCAGGTCGACGAGGGTGCGCCGCTGGATCTCCCCAAGGGGGGGGGGGGTTAGGACCCCCCCCCCCCCTTCCCCGATCCGTCGTCGGGCACCCCCCCCCCCCTCCCCCCCTTCCCCGATCCGTCGTCGGGGACCCCCCCCCCTCCCCCCCCCTTTCCCGATCCCGTCGTCGGGGACCCCCCCCCCCCCCCTTTCAAAAGGGGGGGGGGTCCGAACCCCCCCCCCCTCCCCCCTTTTCGCCACGCCGCCCCCTGACGCCGGAACCCGACCCCCGCCACCCCTACCCCTAGTCCTCACCCGAACCCAAACCCCGAATCCGAATCCTAACCACTAGCCCCAGCCCCAAAGGGAGTCACGAGGGGCCCCCTACCCCCTAACCACTAACCCCAGCCCCCTACTCACTTCCCCCTACTCACTACTCGCTATTCGCTACTCACGACTCACTACTCAATATCCACTACTCACTTAGGCGACGAGCCCAGGGGGGAAATGAGAAGGAGAAGGCCTTCTCAGAAGGCCGCGGGACTTCTTAGATGTCCGGGGGGCTTCTGAGACGTTTCCTTGGCCTATTTCGAACACAGACAGAACTTCTCAGAAGCCCTCTAAGAAGTCCAGAAACTTCTCAGAAGCCTCGGAAGTCCCGCCCGCCGCGCCCGCCGCCGATCACTACCCACCAACCACTACTCGCTACTCACTACTCCCCTCCCTAGTCACTACCTCACTCCTCACTACCCACTACTCAATACTCACTACTCACTAAGCACTACTCACTACTCCCTATTCACTACTCAATAATCATTACTCATTACCCACTACCCACTATCCACTACTCACTACTCACTACTAACTACTCATTGCCCACAAATCACTACTCACTACCCACTACTCGCTACTCGCTACTCCCTGCGCCCTACACAATACTGGCTACACAGTACTCAGTACTCGCTACTCCCATACTCGCTACTCAATACTCACTACATACTCCCCGCTACTCACTATTCACTACTCACTACTTACCACTCCCTACTCACTAGTCACTACACAGTCTCTAGTCACTAGTCACAACTCACTAGTCACTAATCACTAGTCACTACCCACTACTCACCAATCGCTACTCGCTACCCACTATTCGCTGCCCACTTCTTACTACTCACTGCTCACTACTCCCTACTCCCTACTCAGCACTCACTACTCACTACTCACTACTCGCTACTGCCTACTCGTTACTCACTAATCACTACCCACTACTCACTACTGACTACACTCTACTCACTACTCACTACTCA